GTACTGCATCAAATCTACCATTATGTAACTCTGCCAACCTGTCCTTGAGTTGCACCATGTTTCCGTACTGCCGCCCCCCCTTCCTCATAACACCCATTTAGCTGATATTCAAAATAATTTTGCAACCCATACCTCCACCCTGCCTCTTCCCTTCCCTTCCTCTTATAGAAACCTGCTATACCCGGCTTAGCGTGCCTTTCCCACCATTCTAAGACACACGACTCTACCTCTCTAGAATCCCAAAAAGTTTGCCACCATTCCCCAAAAGCCATACTCACCTCCTCACTCCTCACGAGTCTTGCATTTAATTTCCAAAAACCCGATTGTATCCTAACCAGACCTTCCCAATCAAGATCTGCTATAACTGCCCTATGATCAGAAAACCCCACATCAAAAGTCCTGACTCCCAACACACGTACAGCTTCCGTTGCATAGATCCTATCTAATCTTGCAGCATAATCCCGTCTGACAAACGTATACTCAACCTGCCAACCCCCCCTCCCCACAACATCCAAAACCCCCACGTCTCCAAACACATTACGTAACAAGCCCAACATACACCCCGCCCCCCTCGGTTCCACATCCCCCCCCCTAATAACACAATTCCAATCTCCCCCTATTACAGTGACTAAAGGTAAACCCCTTAAATAGTACATCAAAAATTCCCTCACAAAGTTCTCCTTGACTCGTGCATTGCCATCTGCCGGCATATACACTCCTATAAAACAAACCCTCGTTGCACCCCACTCCCCCTCCACCCTCACGACCCTCCCCCCCTCCTCCCACCCCAAAATCCGCAATGGACTGGTTTCCTTTACATCCACAGCAACCCCACCTTTTAACCTCAAAGAGCCACTCACATACATCTTATAACCTTTCAAAGACAACTCACAACCAAACTTATAATTGTGCTCCTGAATGAAACATATATCTACATTAAATCTCTTTAAAAACCATTCCACCCAAACTCTTTTAACCTCGGCTCTCAGGCCATTAACATTGATCGTTACAACCTTGAATTATGACAGTAAAGGCGGCTTGCCCCGCCGCCTTGGAATGGCACCCGCGTGACCTGGCTGCTGATTAGAGCCCCGTTTGTTACCTTGTCTGTCCAGTCCCCCAACCCCCCCCTTAACCTTTGAACCTTTCAGTACTTCAGCACCGCTACACCCACTCTCCGGGAGATCCAACCTGGGCCTCCAAGACTTCTTCCCAGGTCTCTGCCCTGGCGTTAAGACGTCATCCATATCAGACGTCCCAGCTGTTCTCTTGCGTGAACCTCCGTCTCCACATATAACCTCCTCTTCCATGCACGCTCTGTGCACCTCAGCCACTACCGTGTGCTTCTTCCCCTCATTGCACACGGTCTTCCCACGTCCCGATGAGACTGTATTCTCCTCCAATGAGCGTCCACGCTGCTCATCATCCAGACTCCCCTCCACCTCACTCAGGAAGGTATCCAAAACCTCATCCAACATTCCATCCTGTTGCATTACAGGCTCACCGTCATCGTTCGTCGTCGTCTGCTCAGGCCCCGTCCCCACGGGTAACGTAGCACATGAGTCCGTCTCCGCCTCTGCTTTATCCACTTCCTCACTCCAACTGCACGATGCCTGCCTTTCGGCCGCATCTGTCTCCTGCACCACAGGACCCAACTGCTGATCCACCGGTGTTGGCATCTGTTCCCTCCGTCCTGGTTTCCTATGGCATTGGGCTGCCATATGGTCAAATGATCCACACAGCCTACAAGTCCGCCTCTATCCTGCATAGTATACGTAGACCTGCGTTTGGAACTCTTCCAGTAAAACATACGAAGGAATTGATTGCCTTAACGTCATCTTCAGATTGAAGGATCCCTCGGGCAGTCCCACATAAGCCCCTTCCTTCCACACTCCCAATTCCGCCACATGAATCTTGCCATAACGACGGAAGACCGCAACCACATCATACTCTGTAGCTTCAAAGGGCACATTCCTGACTTTTACGTATGTCACATAGCTGGATACATCATGTAGACATACCTCCACTGCTGCATTCACGGCCATCCTCTTCTCGTGGTACTTGTCAACTATGCTTGAGTAAAATCCAGCATTTATAAATTTGATGAAAATCCTCGTAACTCCGTTAACAGCCACACCATAAAGCTCTTCATTGGGTATCCCATACACATCACGAATAATCGTAGGGAGTAGCACCTGCATTGTAGAACTGCTTAGGGCCCCACATACTAATTCCACACAGATAGTATTCACACGTCTGCCATGTCTATCCGCCATGTTGATTGCTCAAAACAGGCAAACTGCGCAGAAAATCAACTGAATCGGGAGCGCCTGCGTGGCACGTCCACTCGGCCCGGAAGCGAAGAGGACAATGTTTTTACAGTAATTAAATAATAAGCAAACACATCGAAATACATTTTTTCTTTTTAGGTTCAGAAAGGTTTTTGCGAAGTTATTGCATACACAAATTTTCATTTGCTTTATTCCGCTAGAAGAGAGTT